TGTAAGATTAGGAACGTGAGCAGACTCTGTTAAAATATGAACATAATTTTAACCTAAATTTTTTTTCCAAATATTGTAATAAAACGCATACGAAACTAGTCCCATTCCTTAGCACATACTTTGTAAATAAATTTTTTTGTATTAAATATAATTTTTATATTCTCAAATAAACTAAACATGTCTCCAATTCTTTACAGGAAAAAAGGGCTAGAAATGTTCTCATGCAAGGAAAAATAAGCAAAATTCCCCAAAAATTCGCGCAAATAAAGCGAAGTGCCAGTAATTCATGACGAATAGTCGAGAAACTTCGAGAACTAAATGAATTCCTCCGAACAACCCCTCGAGTAAAGAAGTGAACAATGCACAATGCAATGTCAATGAAATCAATGAATGAGAAATGAACATTGGGCAAAACAGACGCGAATGTACATGATCGAAGAGGTTAGGACCTGTTCGACGCACACGAGTCGACAAGAGTGAACACGTCAATAAATTTCACTCACATGCATTTGGTGTATATTAATGGGGAGTAAGGGAAGTTACGAATTTCACCAAATATTATTTTTTTTTTTAATTGAAAAATCATATTTGAGCGCACAGGTGAAAAAACTTTGCAATTTTGCGTCAATACTACGATGGCCTGTTTTTCAGGTCCTAGCGTGATTTTCTGAATCTACAAAAGTTATGGTTGTGCACTCATAGCAACCATTTGACCATATATTTTTCATGTAGGATAATTCATAATTGTAAAATCAATATTCTGACCAATAATTTGTTAGAATCTTCCAGAATAGATTAACATTTTGATTGGGCACGTTTGGAAGATTTTATGGAGACATGTAGTTAAATTAGCTGTAGTGTTGCCATAGTGTAGTCTGAGAAAAACACGGAAGTAATTTGTGAAAGTCAATAGATTCAAGAGTACATTGATAACACGTTTCTGAAAGCTATTGTTCGAAGTCCAATAACGTCAAAAACTCTTGAGTTTTCTTTACTGTCATTATCTCAAATTAGAAAAATGTAATTTATCACAGAAATTTCTTATAAATTTCCAATACTACTCTAAAAAGTTGTAGTTTCAAACAAAAATATCAAATCAGGAAAGTTCGAGTAGTTTAACGATTTACATCTTAACTCGACCTTATTCCTACTGAATGTATACATGCGACAGCTATCTTTATAGAAATTAAAATATGCTAAAAACACATAAGTCCATTCATCCCAGTTGGTACTTTTTAAAATCAAGAGATGGAAATTTAGCAATAAATGATTTTGATCTCTAGAAAATGTAGGAAATGTGTAACAAAGAAATAACTAAATATCATTATTTCTTTTCTATGTCTAACAGAGTAGAAATATGGCGACATTGGATCCTAGATAAAATTTCCGCATCTTTCTGATTTGATCATAGGTCTTCAGACGTCAGAGTTTTCAGGTCTCTAATAAAATAAAATTTGAATTTCTGGTCCTATTTATCACCAAGTCGTCTAGTACGCTGATCGAGAAGTGCAGGAAACAAAGAAAGGTATATGCAACAAATAGGATTAAATAAAATGAGATTGATTATGACAGAGAAAGTTAAGAAACAGTCTCTCATCGCTAACCTACCCATTCATCAACATCAAAGCACCGGTTTGTGTCTGGTTTACTGCTTGTCTTTCGTTAGAGAAACACACTTTTTATCCAT